TCTGTCTGACGCGTCTGCCTTCGCGACCCGAAAGGAGAAGCGACCATGGAAGATGAACATGAAGGAGATCTAAAACAACATCTGATATCTTTCAATACGGAAGATGAATCATCCGTTATCCGACTTGTGAACCTCATGGATCTTCTATTAAAAACGATGAGTCATCGGTTATCTGTTATTGGACTTTGTGATAATTATGTATTTGCCAAGAACACATGTAGATGCTCCTCTAGAATTAATTGTTTTCCATTCTATGTCTTCACGGCTGGCAAAGTTATCGGTGGACCCTCCAATCGTATTTTGTGCAATCGAGAGGAGGTGAGGTGTGTGATTCAGCAGAACACAGATTGAACTCTTGAAGCCGTTTCTAACGTCAGCCACATGGTTCGACCCATCGCCTCTGAAGTCCTCAACCGCGGAAGAATCACTCATGGGCTAGCTGTAATATATCTATCGTTAAAGCATAACAATTTTGCACTTCATCGCAGGACGACATCACGGAATTGTCTTCATACGCGTTGATTAACGAATGGTTTAAATGACTACTGACGGTGAGGTGAACAATGGGATATAGAATAAGGTTAAGCTCTCAGCGAAAGGAGAAAGATATTAGATCTGGGATCTTTCAGTGATCTGATGTGAAATGTTGTGACATACGCTCTTCTCCTATGCGACAACTCGCATCTTGCAGAAAGAGCTGTTTTTACTTAAATTGCCATATCATCGGTAATGCACTCATTCACTACATGGAATTCGTTTTCCTTTTAGAGAGCACTGGTCTGTTTCTCTGCCAGGACCTGACATCCGCCTGCAAGCACTGGTTCGAGAAAGGAGAATGCAAAGACAACCCGATTTTGAGGAACAGCATTTGCAGACGCTCGTGTGGCATGTGCGAGTGCAAAGGTATAACTCATTGACATTGCAAGCTGACGGGCTGCTTTCTACGGGGCTAAATTTGTTATTGACTGACAAGAACGAGTGCCCTTTTTGCGCATTATTAAATTGAGACTCATTTGATATATATACATGAAACTACAGTGACGAAAATCAGTACCTCGGTAGGATAGAGGGTCAGAATGCACCTCCGCAAGGGCACTACGTCATTATGTTTATCTTCATGATCACTTTCATCATCAAAATCATTTTAATTTCCTTCTCCTTAATAAACACCATTTCCTCCTCCTCCTCTTCCTTATCTCCATCATTTTCATCATCTCGCTATTTCTTAGCCTACCAATTTTCTTTTCATTCTTCTCCTCATCAAAGTAATCAGCTGCATTTTTCTATCCATTGCTGGATGAATAGCTTTTAAAATGTTTTCCAAAAATTACTTTGGACAACTGATTCCGTTGAACTTGCTGGTCTCACTTTACCATCGACCTGAATGTCCTTGTTGGAAGGCTTCATACCGTTGGAACTGAGTCTCGTCTGTGTGGTTTAATAATGTCTATTTGATTGTAGCATTGCCCAGCGCAATGACACTTCAACTTTCTCAGCCTGCAGT